CCACCAGCTGGATGTTGACAGAATGGTATCTCTTCTATTTGTCAGACATAGAAAGGACATGTTGTGCCAACCAAGTGACCAGTGTAAATACACTCTGTACCTTGGGCAAATCTCAGAAAGCCTGTACTCAATCCAGCTGCTTTCCCTGGACAGTGAAATGCATTCATCTGTTTTTATTACAGAGAGAGTCCATATCCTTCCTGACACACCTGTGAATGGCAAGCTGCAAAAGATTGGATACAGCACGTGCTTCAGCCTGGAAAGAGTCTGATAGATAAATGTCTGTCGCCATGGTCACATTCACTTTGACTGCTGTGCACATCCTGCTTGAACTCTACACTTTGGACTGGAACAGGTTCCAGATTTCAGTCAGCATCTCCTTAATGAAGCAGAAGCATCAGACATGCGTGTTTCTCACTTGAAAGGGATGAGAGAATTGCTGCCTGAACACCCTGGCCAGAAGTGGATTTCCACTGAGAATACTTCTCTCCCTCCTCTATCTTAAAGCAGCTTGTCCCTCTCTGTGTCACCATCCTGTCATTCCCCCATCATACTGCAGGTCAAGGGGCATAGAAACTATAACATCTTTATCTGCAACCAAGTGATATTAATGGGCTTGTGATGACAGAACTAAGCTCCTTAGCATGTGCCACATCAATGTTCCTTATTCACTTTCATTAATAGCTCATTGAAACAGATTCATTTAAATAGTGCTGGTTGGTAGGGGGAGGCACAGAGTAGGGGCTGTGGTGGTGATGGGGATAACTGACCCATCCTACAACTGCCAGCTTGTTCAGTTGTGCAAGGTTAAGACAAGGCATTAGTTAGAGGATCAGGTCAAAAAAGGACAATTAACATCAAATCAGTGTTAGATGTTGACTGATGTCACATTATGCCAACTCTGCATACTTTTCACTGCACCCATGCTGCACTGCACTGACATCCTTACCATGGACAGCTGCCATATGTAACTTCAGAAATGCACGCCACTGATGCTATTTTGGCTTGAAATGGCACTGGAGCAGCAAAAATTCTTGTGTTATGACTGACATTACGATGAGAAGCTTTGGCCAGAATTTTACCAACCTCATGGCAGTAAATTTAAGGAAGCCATCTCCTCTTTCATAGCACTCGACATGGAGATGGCCTCCCCTTCATCCTGCTGCCTCGGCAAAGACCACTACTATTGGAGGCATTGCCAAGGTTGCCCTGCTGCTGGCTCTTTGATGTAGCTCTGGGATGCACGTTGCCACCTTCAATTGGATGCCAGTACCAGCAGTTTGTCACTGGCAAAATGTCATCCAATGGGACCTGCTGGCATGGAATTGGATTTCTCTTTCAGCTTAGTAGTGGGACAACTTTGATCCTGTCCTTTTAAGTCATTTTCTTCAAACTTATCCCTAAAAAGCAGTAACAATGAAACTATAGTGATGAACGTATATAGAATGCTTTGCGAGATGGGAAAGCAAACCAGGAGAAAGCTAAGTGAAACGTGTCCATAATTTTGTTTTTAAAACTTGATGACAGGGCACAAGCGTGCAATTATTAACCACATTGTATTAAACTGCCGGTCAGTGTGTCCTTCCCGATCAGTGCAGGAAATCACCCACTGAGGCTGGTGAGATACAATGCAACAATTACCCAACTGTTTCAAGCTTTTGAAGCATAACTGAACCAATTTTGGAAGGGAAACTACACAGCCACATTTGACCTTTCACAAAAATCCAGTGAAGTGTTCTGATTAAAAACATGATCTGGCTAAAGTGAATCTGCATTCAGTGGAAAGCAGAATGTTTAATTTCTCTTCAATAATTCAGTTTTCTGTGGTACGGGGGCAGACTGTGTTTATAGTATTCCATTTTTGATGAACATTAGTAGGAACATGTGGAATCATAGAGATGTACAGCACAGAAACAGACCCTTCAGTCCAACTCGTCCATGCTGACCAGATATCCAAAATTAGTCTCACTTGCCAGCATTTGGCTCATATCCCTCCAAACCCTTCCTATTCATACACCCATCCAGATGCTTTTTAAATGCTGTAATTGTACCAGCCTCCACCACTTCCTCTGGCAGCTCATTCCATGCATGCACAACCCTCTGTATGAAAACATTGCTCCTTAGGTCCCTTTTAAATCTTTCCCCTCTCACATTAAACCTATGCCCTTTAGTTTTGGACTTACCCACCCCTGGGAAAAGACCTTGTATATTTATCCTATCCATGCCCCTCATGATTTTATAAACCTCTATAAGGTCACTCCTCAGACCCCACTGCTGCAGGGAAAATAGCCCCAGTCTATTCAGCCTCTCCCTATAGCTCAAACCCTCCAACCCTTGGAATATCCTTGTAAATATTTTCTGAACCCTTTCTGGGACACCAGAATTGCACACAGTATTCCAAAAGTGGCTTAATCAATATCCCGTACAGCCGCAACATGACCTCCCAACTCCTATACTCAATGCACTGACCAATATGGGAAAGCATACCAAATGCCTTCTTCACTATGTGAAAGACCATGTTTTCCATAGTTAAAAGCACATTGGAATAGTTGACTGTATCAATAAATGGATTTGTACAAAATATCTATACTGAAACAGAGAACATCTAAATTGGCC